GACCCAGGCCCAGATCCATTCATCCACCACGTCCAATAGCTTTTTTGCACTGCAGCATCTGATTCCTTCAACTCGATGAGGATCCTGGGCAGTGGAAGCTGAGCCAAGGACCCAACAGTGATGATTGGAGCCTGGTTTTCTCCAAATCGTTTTGAGGCTTTGATGAACTTGGGATGAACTGCTCAACGGTCCATCTGTGGCACTCATACAGCTATGCCAGCTGAAACTATTACAACCATCTTCGGTAGAATCGTCTCTATTCTTTCGAATGCGAAGGAACATCTTTCAACTCCAGATTTATCCTACGTCAATTTCGAGAAGTGTTGAACTTTCCATGTCGAGCATATTCGGCCAACGCAGCACCACTTTTGAAGTTCCAGCGTTGATGTGTTGAATGATGATTGCAGGGCCAACAGGCTAAGGTCGTACGTGCGAAATCTTTGATGATGACTGATTGATCACGACCCCAGATTTTCACACTTCAGGAATTGCCAAACAAAGACAACCTTTTCAATTGGTTTGATGGACGTCCTTATGTCAGAAGAAAATCTGAGGTCTTTTGGCCAGCCCCTTCAGGGCATAAAAAAGGCCATGACCGTGCAGTCAAGGTTGTCAAGCGCTTCGCGCTCCCAACGACATCCCTCACCCAGTGGCAATTGGGTGTGAGGGTGCACAGGTGCCACCCGGGAGAACCGTTGAATTCCATCATCATCGTCATCATCGTGGCCGTGAATTTCGATCTCGCCTTCGCCCCAATTGGGAGGCCGCCCGTTCCGAAACCACTCCCTCGGATGAACTGGGACACTTGTGTGACAAGGCCGTCTCACAAGCATTCGATCCAGAATTAACAGCATGCAACAGCATCAAAAACGGCAGAATGCAATCGAGTCTGAAAGATGAGGGGTAAAAATCTCGCTGGAGTTGAGTAGAGAGAAACACATTGAGTGGGTGTTCGCCACCGTTCCAACGGTGAACAACTCGAGTCGCAGCAAAGGCTCCGCTTGAGTTTGTACTGGTCCGCCACGGCGTCTGACACTTCAGACGAGCCCGCGTGGTACTTTTTCACCCACTCCTCAGTGCGTCGCCGGATGTTCTTCTGGGGTTTTCTGGGGCGAATGGGCTTCAACCGTTTCCCAAAATTATCTTCCACATCTCGGAACTGTCTAAGGATTCGCCAAGCAGCTGCATTGTAGATGTTCGATACCACGCAGCAGATAATGGCACCTTCGTCCACTTTCTTCCGGACGGCGCGGAGCCAGTGGCAGCACCAGCCTTGGCATTGAGCATCGCCAGTTTCTTGCTTGGCATGGCAGAACACTGCAAAAAGAGTCTCTGAGAGAGATCAAGAACGTGAACGGCGGAACCGCGCTCTGATAAATCCAAATGAACGTGAACCGCGCTCTGAACCGGGACGCCCCGATTTGGCACACCAACCAAGTGGCACGGGTGCTTTGAGCCAACTGCCGGTGCCTCCCTCGAGACCCGGGACTCCACGAGGGAGTCCCACATCGGGTCACGTCCCTCCGGCGGCGGCACCGAGACATCGTTGCGTCCACAGTCGGTGGGCGGATGGCGCCACTTGCCGCCGTTGGCCTGAAAGCCCCAGACCGGGACGGTGTCGAACCACACAGTGGCTGATCCTGAGAGGGTGAGCAGTTTCGACAGTGACGGACGAGCAAACTTAGAACATTCAGTTTGTCCAACACGACATGTTCATCACTTGGATTTTCAGAAACATGCATTTAAAGCGATATAACGATCCTTAACGCATTGTTTAAAAGGATCAGTTGGATTGTTGGTTCCAACGTTTCACGCGGAGCGATGTGGAGGGTTTCCGCACATTTGCTGTTTTACAGCAAGGAGAAAAAGGTGGACTCACCTGGACGCCAAGCCTGGTCCATTTAAGAAACTGTGCTGCACAGAGGCCTTCAGATTCCAAGGGCCCATCCAAAACCCTCTTTCCCATTCTCTCAGATGACTTACACATCCGGTTGAATTTCGAGCAAAGCAGGGGTATGGGTGAAAACGCAGCTGGCTGCGAGGGTGGCTACTTTGAAATGCCTTTCAGACCTCTTGTTCCAGACTTGAGATATACGCATCTTTAAGCAGGTTTTCAGAAAAGGATTGAAAAGGGGTATTGGCAAACAGAGTTTTAAAAACCACTGTTCTCAAGGCATTTGGGTCAGACGTGGCATCACGGATCCAGCAAGCGACTTGGGAGAGTTTTGGTGTTTTCTGGGAGTATCAAAAAAGAAGGCTGCTCCAAATTGAAGACTGTTTACTTTTGGTAAGCTTTGGAGACCTCTGGGCTCACACTGTCATGCAAGTATGGGGATTCCCAAACAATGCGTCTCATCCATAGAATTTGTTCCTAGTACATATATCTCAGGACCAGTTTTTATTGATTTTCAGGTGAGAAGGGGTCCAACCAATCAGACAACTTCACACCAAACTCTTCAAATCACAGAAAGTCGTCGTAAAGTAAGTCGACTCTCGACTCATGTTTCCCCCTCCTCTCCGGAATGGACCCAATTTCCAGCCACCACCGCCACCGCCCAGGCCCAGGCACCGCCCCCAGTCGCGTTCAATTTCTTCATGACTTCTGCATACGCCTCGCCGCCTGGGACCGAGGCCCCCGTGGCCACGATGACCTTCCGCATGTTCGCGAAGCAGTCGAAGCTGTGGTACCAGGTGAAGACGAGGCCTGTGCCGGCCTCGCGCTTCACCTGGTCCACCAGCTCCGCATCTTCTTGCAGCGCCTTCGAGGCCAGCTGGACGAGCCAGGGGGCCTTGGTGGCCCTGACCGCGTCCAGCAGGAACTCCCGGTCGCCGCGGAGGTCCTCCGGGGCATATTGCAGCTTTGTGCCGTCTTCGAGTATGCGCGACAGCCAGGAAGCGCGCACCTCGGTGCAGGCGGAGTGGCGGAGAGGATCGGCCCCGGGAGACCGCTAAATCAGGTTGGGCCGGTTCCATGAAGGCATTAACTTGAACATGTTTTTTTCGATTTTGGAGGTCTCTCAGATGTGTTCAAACGACATCTTTCGTTGCAAATGCATGAGAATGGTGGACACACACACACACAGAGTTTTCTTAGAGAAGAAGGTAGAAGTTCGGAATCACATGCCCTGGCGCCATGTGTAGTATGTCAATTCCTGCTGTCGGATCCATGTTTTTTCCATAGATTGAGGTTCATTTTGGTCCGACCGAAACATCTCGGATCAATCGCCGGCCCTTGACGCCGTGTGAGCGCTGCGACATCGAGACAAAGAGCGAGGGCAACTTTGACTAGAACTTGGACAAGACTTTGAGGGCTTGTATACTACCAAGTTGATTTACGTAGTAAACTAGCATCTTGCTGTGCCCACTTCAACAAACTTTCAACAAGTTTTAATTGTCACTGGCCGGCTGCAAAATGAATGAGATCTGCGGCGGAGATATTGGTTACAATCGGAACTTCAGTCCTGCAAACCCAGTTGCTTTCAGCATGTATTAGTGGTGTCTTACAAATTTGCAAAGGAACATGGCAGTTACACCTCGACATGGACAGAAACAGGTTTGGTGACTCCGAGTGAGTTTAGTGAAACAACCAAGAAAACTCAGCCTATGAAGCGATCACTTAAGGCGAATCTGGCCGAACCTCACTTAAGCATGCAAACACAGTTTTATGCATTTCTGTAAACCTTATGACCAAACTGACGCTTAATCGGCACAAACTTTTGACTTGCAAAACAGAATGCTTACGACTGTGAACAGTGCAAAGAAAAATACGACCATATTTTGGCCACACGCTGGCAAGAGAACACCAGAAGTCGTGGGCTAGCACTCCGAGACTGAAGAAGAGACATAACCAACAATTTTCCTTAACCTTGCAATTTTGGCCCAACGCCCGGCAAAAAGGAGAAATCTCCTTTCCACCGCTTTCAGTCGGCTTTTGCAGCCGCGAGACCACCTCCTTCTCCTGCTGCAGGGCAGCTGCTGCGAACTTCAGGGCTCTGCCGTCCTGCTGCACGGCCACCATGACCTCGGGCAGAAGTGCTGGAGCGCTCGACCGGACGAAGTTCCTGGACTTGGACGACTCCGAAACCTGCGGAATTCCATCTGTGCTTTGGAATTTGAAATCTGGGAGCAGGGTTTACAAATTCAGTCGCTCGGCTGTTTTTAGGAACTCTCGGTGGAAAGAAAACCACTGATTTGTCTGGATTGGCATGGAGCAATGATTTCAACATTCGGAACTTGGCGAACCAATTAATGTGGAAGAGAGGGTGCTTCTTGGACATCATTGACATCATTTAGAATTCAGCGTGTGATACTGTGACGGACCCACAAGCAACTTTCCTTAACCTTGTCATTTTGGCATCTTGGACCGTTGAGTTGCTGGTGACCCTATATTGACAATAGGAGATCGATCCCCATAGG